AATGGTTTAGTTTTAAAATCAAGTGCCTCAAGCTCAAGTTTTTGCTCACATCCACAGTTTCTGAGATAGATCCATTCTTGCAGTGTGTAAATTAGGTAATGTTTCAGTCCTTTTGAACGAGACAGGCTTCAGCCTTTACCCTTAATGCTGCAATCACTGGGTTAAGCTGTACTGCACAGCAATTTAAAACCTTTTCCAGTACAATCGAAAGCCATTGATTTGGATGGTGCCCTAATGGAGAAAAATATTGATCGTGCACGTTTCTTGAGCATGTGTGAGCAGCAGGTGGGAGAGGAGCTTTCTCCTTATGGCTTCCCAGAACAGCCCCCCATTTCAGATCCCATAATGGGGCCCGAGCGTTTGCCTGCCCCGCTCCCAGCAGCAACCTGTCTGTTGTCAGACGTCCCAGTGAGGTTGTGGTCAGACGTGCTGGTTTGGCATCTGCTGAGTGGTATGAAAAGGTTGCTGTGACTCAGCTCTGCGTCCCTGCTTGCAGCCTGGCTGGAGATGGTCGTCCCCTCGCAGGGCTGTATGGTGTGGCTCGCTCAGAAAGACCCAAATGAACGTATGGGATGGCGAGGAAACGCATTTACGTGCATTTTAGCTGGTCAGGCTTGGGGAGCAGTGATAAACAGCTGGGTTTTGAGATGGCTTTAAACTGAAAGAGGGCAGATTTAGGTTGGATATAAGGAAGAAATTCTTCCCTCTGAGGGTGCTGAGGCACTGGAACAGGTTTCTCAGAGAAGCTGTGGCTGCCCCATCTCTGGAAGTGTTCAAGGCCAGGTTGGATGAGGCTTTGGGCAACCTGGTGTAGTGGCAGGTGTTTCTGTCCATGGCAGGGGGATTGGAACTGAATGATCTTCAAGGTCCCTTCCAACCCAAACCGTTCCATGATTCTGTGGTTGGCTTTGAATGTACTGTGCGAGATACTGAAGTGAAACCAGTCTAATTATGCCTGTTACCTCCTGTTGGATGAGCAAGGGGGAAAATGGATTTCTGTTTACTGGTAATTAGAAAGCTGTGGAGAGCTTAGTGCATTTAGGGCTGTGCTATATTTAAGTGGTACCCTGTCTTGTCAGGTGTCCCTATTACAAAATGTTCTTTGCCAAGATCATGGGGTGAGCCTCTCCTTTTAAAAGCTGGTTTTGAAACTCTGGGTTGTTTTCAGAAAACTAGTTAATTTGCCATGGCTGCGGCATCTGAATCCATCTTCGCTTTGTGCTCCTAAGTCATTCCAAGACCATTTTAAAGGTGTTGTGGACAACTATGGGAAATGCCATTTCACCACTTGTAGAGTGGAATTATTGCATTTCTGAGAGATGAAGCTATTATTAACGCAGGAAATAGACTCTTCTCCAGTCTCTCACCCTGTGCGTTGCAGACTTAGTGCCATCTTTAATTAGGAGACTGTCACAGCTGAATTAAAAATAACAATTCAAACCAAAACCTGTGGTCTTGGACCAGCCAGATTGACAGCCATGAGACTTAAAGGCTTTACTTACCCGCAGAGCAGCTGGAGCCCTGACCATGAGCATCCCAGCACCCTCCTGCTGCCCCAGAGACAACTTGGAAGAAACCTTCACCCACTGGTGCTGAGACTTCTGCTCGTGTGAGTTTTGGTCCAGGTTTACCACTAAGAGGTTCACTTAGTGATGGTGGGTTCTTTCTTCCAAGTGTCTGGTCTAGATGACAGCCAGATTGAAAGCAGCAAACTCATTTCATGCAGTCTCTGTTAAGAGCTCTAAAACATCGTGGTTTTGGTCACATCTGATTGGGATCGAGGTGAAATCCTAGGGTTAGAGAGACCTTCTTTGTACGTTAATAGACCCTTTAATTAGCAGACTTCACATTAAAACTTATCTTCTTGTTAAGGATTTATTAAAATCTTGCATAAACTCTACTACTGGAATATGCAGATTTATTTGTGAATCTCTTGGATTATTCAGCGGAGGAGAATATTCCTCCCAAGGACAGACTTTGAAGACCGCTTCCTTGAAACAAATAATTTTTTTTTAAAATCCTAGCCTTTCTTTTGCTTGTTGTCTTTGAGATAAACGCTCACAAAGCTAGCTGCAATTTTGACTAGAATATTGATGCGTTGCTTGCTCGTCAAATTAAAAACGAGCTGGAGTGGACTGTTCTGGAATGCGTTTCAATTTTAGAACTTTCCACTTTCAAGAGCGACCTTATTCAGTGCCCAAATGGGCACCTTTCCTCTGCACGAACACCTCATTATGTGTGTTGAAATAGGCATCGTCTCTGCTTTTTTAATTCTGTATTTTTCTTAGTGGTATTTCCCTTTTTTAAACTTTCACAAAATATGGCCGCAGTTCCTGGCTAATTTGGCTGAAACATGACACGAGGCAAATATTTTTGTGAAAGAATTCTTAGTCACATGAGAAAGAATGTAATGGAATATTCTTAGAAAGTGTTATAACTATGCTTGACATGTAAAATATTTATCCAGACGTGCAAACAAAACAAAAGGTGTCTTGCCAATGTACCATCGTAAACCTTAGTTATTTCAAAATCTCGACCACGATGTTTTTCAGTTCTTGAAAATAAGGTATCAAGTTCTCTGCTGGCATAAATTGACAGAGTGTTAATGGTTGGCTTTACCTAGCTGAAATTTTAGCCCTGCTCTTGCCTCCCTAAAAATAAATCAAGATGTGCTTTCCTGAAGAGCTGCAATTGTGCTAAGTAAAACTCTTCTGTTTATTTTGGTTTTGGGTTACTTTAGTATTACTTGAAGAGTTTACTAACGCGGCTGCACTCTGAAAGGTGGGCCTTATGTTTGCTTTGCTTTTTGTTGTTGTCTGTATCTTCATGTGAATTAAATTTGGAGAAGTCCGTTGTTTCTACAGACAGATAGTCTTTGTTCTGCTCCAAGAAGGATCTCAGCCCTGCGGCTGGACGGCACAGCTGGAGCTTCCGTGGCTTTATCCAAACTGGCTTCCAGCAACCGGCCCTGCCGACTGCTGTGGTGAGATATGGCACTGCCTCGTGGGGATGCCAGGTAGCTGCCCTGGCAGTGACCCCCATGCCAGCCTGTCTCCTAGCAAAGTTAGCTAAAGAGCTCCAATTTGGGTTGTGACACTTGAGTTTTGCCAAGCCTGGTGCTGCTCTTCCACACCGGACACAAACTGCTGCTGGATCTCTGATCAGTGACAGCAGTGCCTGGCCCGGAGCACCAGTGCCCTGTGCTGCAGGTAGAGGGGCTGGTGTGCCATGCTGAGACCTCCTCCCATGGCCCTCCAAGTCTCTTTCAAATTTAATTTCATTTCATTAATCAGTATGCAGCTTCCCTGGTGGTTTTGTTGTTGGATGCTCTTTTTTTATGCTGTGTTATTCTGAAATCTCGTTGGTGAATAGCTACTGTAACTGCGTTCAACTTTCAAAAATCTGCCATCTATTGTTAGTTTTTCAGGCTGCTGCCATGTAATTGGTTAAAAATGAATGGCAGTTGGAGTTGCAGCAGATGAGCTGGGAATGAGTTAGCAGTTACTTGTTGGGATCCCTTCCAGAGAAGGAAGGTGGAGTTTGAAGCTGCTCACAGCCTTTCTAAAATAAGAGTCAAAGCAAGTAGGTGCTTTTTGCTGTGGGTGAAACATCAACTAACTTTTTGGAGGAAACTAAAAGCTCAGCGAGGAGAGGAATTTTGGTTTAGCCTGAATATTCTCTCAACTGATGTTCTGTAAAATAATCCACTCATATGAAAGCTGTTGTGTATTTCAGTATGTGCCGATTCTTAATACACCAGTCTTCATCTCAAGAGGATTCCCTCTGGATAGCTGCTATTCCAAAGGCAAACAGGGTAGTTTGTCCTGGATGGTGCTGCAGACTGGGTGGGTTTTCATGGTCCCGAATGATGGCAACCTGCCTCCCTTTGTGTGGGAACTTGTGCCTTAGAGGCTGCTGCTCCTTCTTTACATCCCCCCCAACCTCCCCAACAGGCTGCAGGTGCTTTATTGCACCTGTATCTGGACACACTAGATGACTGGGCATCGAAGAGTTAAAAGCTTGCCCCTGAACTAAATGTAATGTCTGCTTGCAGTACCTTGTACATATGTACAGTACAAACATGAGCGAGTTAGTAAATTAGTGACAACTTGTTTTTATTATGTTAAATTGATCGGTTTGTTTTTAAGATACCTCTTAAAGCATCCTTCATTAATCAGGTGCTGTGTGATGGTCAGACTTTAAAACTTGACAGTACACGCACATGGCATGAGTCAGGATAAAAAGAGTTTCCTGCTTCTTCAGGTTCTATTTGCATTAAAAATGATATATTATTGATGGTATGTGATATATTTCATCCCGTTGTTCTGTGAAATTGTGTTTGGAGCAGTCTCTGAGCAATCCAGATGTATCTAAGGGGAAGGCATGAAGGACAACAGAATAGGTTGATTTAATATTGGAACTGGCAGAGATAGTGTTTCCAGGTGACATAAATGTGTGATGCCTCAGCCCTGCTGTGTGTATGTACCTGAGCACTGGTGGTACTGGGGTGGTGGTACTTTTTACTGGGGCTCCTTAGCAATGCGTCTTGCAGGCATTGACATCTCAAAATAACTCATTTTATCCTCAGTTACTGTAAATTTGTTTGGGCCCAAGTCCAAGGTCGTCTGGACTTAGGAATCTGTATGCACATGGTTATGTACTTATGCAGAAATGCTGGTAGTTAATTCCTTTCTGCCCATGTAACCATACGGCATCAAGGGTTTAATAAAACTGTGCCTTTCCTACCACACGATCCCTGCAAAAACAGACTGAACCAGAAATCTAGGGAGAGAGATTTCGGGAGGGCTTTTGCTGAAAGTAAGAGGCTTAAAATAAAGCTGTGTGTTGCCATACAGATTTTTAATCTTCGAACTTCATGAATCAGCTGAGGCGGGAGGGGGAGGACTTTTAAAATGAAATATTTACATGAATCAGACAGCTGGGGTTTGGGGGAGTGACCGTGGCTGCACAAACAGTTTAAACTCAGAAACGTTGCTGTGACTTAGTGCTTCCCTCTAGTAAAGAAGGATTTCAGGATATTGGTGCTGGTAGCACTGGGATCATATGAGCCGCCAGTAAGTAAGGGGCGGTGTTGTTTGGGAGGGGGTGCTTGGCCGAGGGTTTCCTCTGGAGTTTCAGTAGGAAATTGGGTGATTATTTCTGTGGAGAAGTTCTGATTCCTGCAGGTACATCGGGTTTGGGGTTGGAGCCTTCTCAGAAACGCTGTTGTCCTTATGCTTTTTTATATAACTTCTCAATTATGAGCTTGACTTCTTGTCAAGGAATGTAGGAATTGATGTGAATTTGAAACCAAGTTAGAGTTAATTGCCTAAGAAGAAAAATTGAGAAAGAAAATAGTATTTTAAAATCTAAAGGGTTAAGGTAGGTCTTGCTTTTATGTTTTTTTAAAACATGTTTGTTTTCTGAAAGCTTTCTAAGTAGTTTTACAGAAAATGGTGGAACAGAATACAGGGCAAAACTTGTCTGCTTCTGATTTTTACATAAGTATTTGTTCCTGAATCTAACACAGGCGAAGACAAAGTGTAACTCATGGGTGTCACCTGGCTTGAAACTTGATTTAGCTCAGTATTCTGTATTTCAGCCGGGGAATATTTGTTTCTCCTGTCTCTAGAGGAGAGGATCCTGCTTATATTTGCAACAACTCATCTTTCACCAGAGTTTTTCCCTTTACTCTGGTCAGATCTGCATATATATACAAAGGAGGTATATATTCTATATGGGCATGGCCAGCTTCATTTAAATTGCTGAATTTAATCAACTAGCACTAGCAAAGCTGCTGTTACTATATTGTTAAGCAGCTCTTTATGAGCATCAAATTCAAGAACTACAATTTTTCAGATGACTGTCTTAAACCCAATAGTGTGAATAGTGGAAACGTCCCTTATAGATCGCTTGGTTGTGCTCTTTAACACTGGTACCTTGAGCATCACAGAGAGGGAGATGGCCCTTAGCAAAGCACTAACTTGTTGCCTGACTCAGAAATTTTGTTCCCTTCTGAGGCACCCAGTGGCAGGACGTTACTGGGTTTCAGTTGATGAGGCTGCCGCAGTATAACGTGCTTATTTTGGGAAAGTTACTTCCAGCTAGTGAATCTCAACAAGTTTTCTGCGTGGATTAGTCTTGGTGATTATAGGCTGGCAAAAGAAATGATGCTGTCGGTGTGGGCCAGTGCCATCGGCGACGATGTGAGCTTACGTCGTGTAAACCACATGCTGGCAGGTGTGGAAGACCCTGGTGAACCACAGGTCTCAAATCAAGGTGTGGATGTGCAGTGTGAAACCATTAAAAACATAATGCAGACTGCAGTTTTGAATTCCATTTGTAGAAAGGGTGGATTTTTGTTAAGACTCAAGTAAACAAGTCTATAAACTTTGCGAACAGTGAAGGACTATGCACAAAATAGAAAACAATCAAGCGTTTCATCAGCCTTTTTACTGTCTCTTGCCAGAATTTGCAGGCTGTCCTGCATTGCATCAGTCATGCTGGATGCGATTTTCCATCTATATTTTGAAGCCAGATGAAACATGAATCCACAGTATCTTGATGGTTATTTCATAAGAAAGGAAAAGCCTTTTGTGATGTGCCTGTGCTAGTTGAGCCTATAAATCCCCTTTTTATTTGTGTCTGTGGCAGCAAGTGAAGCGAGGATCATTAGTAGGTGTGAAAAAAGCACGTTAGAAGCTCCAGGTAGATTTTTCTATCTGATGCAATCTGGGTGAATGCACTTTTGTGGTGTTCTCCTGTGGTACAGGTGTATCTACAGGTGCCAGCGAGTGGCCGACCTCAGACCTGCCAAGTCTCATGTTGTCTTGAGCATCCCGTGTTTGATTTAGCAGCACAGGGCAGTGCCAGGGGCTCGGACCCTGGTGCTAGAAGGTACGCTTGCCCAGTGCAGCCTGGTGACACCAGCTTCTCTGCTTATTTCGTGCACAGCCCTTCACCTTCTGGAAGAGGATGAAAACTGATCTTATGCTTAAAAGAGAGGCAGTAAGTGAAGAACTAGATTTGTACTTGATAACTGAAAAAAAAAAATCATTTAAAAAACCCCAGCAAATTAATGAGACCCTCTGAATCTAAAAATGTTTAAAGGCTGTAGAATTTGGCCCCAAGCAGGGAGTAGTATTTAGAAGCAGGATGTGTCATTGCTTTAGAAGTGCCTTTCTTCTGCTGTAAACTGGGCAGTACTGGCAATGTGAGCCCATCACTCACTTTTATTTTTTAGTAAAGAATCAATAGGCTTCTGTTTACTCCAAGCAACTTGAAAAAAGGAAAGGCAGCTTCTTGCTTTTTAAACTCAAGGGGTTTTTTTACAATTTATACTGTAGACGTGTTTTAATAGGTAGGGTTTATATGTATTTTGTCTATTCTGATTCCTGGTGGAGCTGTTTCCCTCTTACTGGGAATGCAGAAGGGAAAAAAGCAGAGCATGGATGGCAAGCGCAGTCGAGACTAGAGCAGGCACAGCCTGGCAGGCTTTTTCCAGTGCTCTTCCCTTTTTTCCATACTTTCTCCATTTTATTTTTCAAAGTCTTTGGGGGCTCCTGAGTTACAGGTGTAGGAACGAACAGGAGCTGGGGCCAGAGTTCCTAGGGTTTAACTCTGGTTTCATTCATGCAAATTCAAACCGGCTGTTTTCAGTGGGATTCCTTCATCTTTACAGAGTGAGACTCCAGATCTGTTCTCAGCCTTGAACAGAGCAGAAAGTTTTGCTTTTTGTCTTTCTTCCTAACGGCTGGATTACTCTCATTCTGCACAACCCTCTGGAATGCTTCCTTGCGACTGGGGAATTTTTATTGCCACTGAACTGAGCTGACAAGCAGCATGGGTTGGTTTTTTTTCCCTCTTCCTCCCTCTCTCCAGGAAAGTATACATCTGATGATCAAAAGGAAATACTTTTTATGAAAATTAGAAAATTGGATTGCTGCCTGCTTGCCAGTATGATATTTTTTCATAGCAAGTTTTGTGGCTGCTTTTTCATTTAACCAAATTCCGAAATTGTGTGAGGTGCACGTGTGCAGGCCAGCTGAGATGAGGAACGTGAGTGGTGAGCACTACACGACGGAGGCCAGGTTTACTCAGCGTGGTACAGGACTGGTACAGCTACACCTGAGACAGCATCTGGCCTCCAGCTGACAAATCCACACGCTGTGTAGGGCACAGCGTGGCCAGCGGATCTCTCCTGGCTTCGGTATCTCCATTTGGCACTTCCCAGTGTGGTTTGGACGTACCTTACACTGACTCGCTGATCCTTATGTGCAGGAAATGCTCCTCGTTATTTATCTTAAGCTCATGAGCTTTCCCTCTGGAGGAGGAATTCCATCATTGCTTATTTGTTTTTCTGCTCCTATGTTTAGAGGAACTTTTGACCTGTTCCAAGGATATATTTTAAGAAATTAAAGCAAGGCTAAACTTTTTTGGAAAGGCGTGCGATTATATTAGAAATACATATTGTTCTGAAGTAGTAGAATTAGGTCAGGCACACCCTGCATATGCCTGTTTCCTGCTTGCTCATATTTCTGAGAATAATTGTACAGGGGAATGTTTTTGTAGATTTAAAGGAGTGTTGTCACCTTGAAAATGAGTTGTTTGGAGTTTTATTTAAGCCATGGTGGTTACGCTGTGGTTTAGGAACAAGGGAAGATTGCAAACCATCTGATTCACTCGCTCAACATGCTGGTCGTTCTTTGCCGCTCACAAACGGAGTGGTGAAGTAAGGTTACTCACTTCTACTATTTTTACTCTCTTCTGACTTCCTTCTCATCATGCCAGATGACAGGGAAGCAGTGCATAAGCTGTCAGATGTTACAGTAAAGGGCTTTGCTCTCCAGTGCATTTTGACAGCTCAGCTTTTTGTGATTTTTCTTTGAAGTTCCTGTGAAGTTCTGCAAACTTGATACCTAAACTTTTATAATGGCTCGTTTAAAAAAAAAAAAAAATCCCAAGGGTAAGGATAAGGAACAAATAATACAATAAGAAGTTAGAAACCAACAAGTGTCTAGTGATGCTTTTGTTATCTTTTGCTTCATAAAATGTCCTGCCTCTAAATGGGTTTTCTCTGCTGGACATGTTGCTGTATTTGAGTTTCTTCTCTTTGCACACATCACCCGTGCACTGTTTGTGTTGGTCTGTACAAGTTAAGCCATTCGGCTCCTTCCAGTAGCTGGGTGAGAGCTGTGTACTTTGGGAAGTGGGTTTGGATGCGCCTCAGATGCGTTAGGGTGGGGAAGGATAATGTGCTGAAGATTGTCCCAGCATTTTGACATGCCAGTACGCTTCCTTCTTTCTTAAGGATTACATACGACAAGGATCAGCCTCTTTATCTCTGCAAAAGGTTTGAAGCATGAATTTGTTTGTTGCTAAATAAAACTTAGTTTCCAGTTTGCGTTTAAAAAAAAAAAATTAAATGTCACTTCCATGTTTTTCTCTCAACAAAAGTGTTGGCTCTAAACAAGTTAGAGTAAAGATGACTTCGCCATGACCACCAGCACATGGCTTGGAGAACAGAGATGCTTGTTCAGTTGCACAGCTCATGCTCAACATTGTCATGTTCTGGAGGGAGGAGGGACCTACAGCAAAACCAATGGCTGAAGTTGAGACGGGATTTTAAATCTTTGACTGTGATACTGATTTCCTTTCAAAACAAAACAAACAACCCCACAAAAAACAACAACCACTAACCA